TTCCTGCTGGTTCTACCAGTATTTTTCAGTCCTCTTTTTGTTGTATTTGTCTAAGCATAAATGGATCATTTGTGGAAACAGAACACATAACAGGTATTTTATGGGTAAATGAGTAAATGAAGAGACTGCCACCTCACTTATTTAAGACTAAAGCATAATTTGAACCTAGAAGTCCACCAGCAAAACCTATAGAAATCAAAGGCAGAGCAGAACTATGGGGCGAGATTCATTGTGGAGATCTGTGATGAGAATTTTTCCTTTGTACTAACCCAGTATTTTATTTGGGGTACCTTAACAAAGACTGAACACTTTTGGGTGGATCATATGCAGATTGCATGAAGGGATTTGGCTCCTTTTTCCCCTCTCTCTGCAAACACATGACCCCATTGGTGCTGCATGAACACCCCTCTCTTCCACTCATTAAGTAGCTGGCTTTGAACCAAGTGTCTACCAATGTTGTCTGTACAAATGAACATCTCCTTTTGCTCTCCTAGGAGATTTGGAGGAAGGAGTGGAGCTTGCTGCTTGTACTGATGGGCAACAGATGGCTACAATTGATATCTACCTCAATGTGAATGGTGCAAGGCAAGAAAACACAGGACAACTGATTCTAACTGCTGTCAATGAGAGCTTGGGCTTGGTGGCTCATGGGTGTGGGGATCCTATAGTTAAAATGGAGGTGAGATGGCCTTCAACAGCTGTTTGTGGTAGTTGGGCATTTTCAGTTGCAGAATATTTTCTTAATTTGTCAAGTTAGTGAAACATCTTCTAAAGTTGTTTTTTTTTTCTGTGGAGTTCCAGTAACCTGGCCAATGAAAAGTGTTTGCAGTTCCCTTCTAATAACAATGTGCATTAAGTTCTCTATTTGGTGTGAAGGAACACCTGGGTGGGTTTCAAAAAGATCATCCATACCTACAACTCAAGTGTAGGATCCAGCAGAGATTCCTACTACTGCTCTCAATGGGAGCTTTGTGACCAAAGGTAGGGTTGAAACACATGTGACACTACTGTGACTGAGAAGACAAGTTACTGAGGTACAAGTTACTGTGCCTACAAGGCAAGATTCATCTCTCTGCCTGTGCATTATCTTTTGGGGTGCAGGAGTTTAGTCATTGAAGGGCAGTGCCTAGAGGCCCCTGGTGAGAGTATGACCCCAGTGTGCTAGGCAAGGACCCTGTTCCAAAGATAGGAATAATATAAATTGAGGAGACAGACAAAGAATGAGAAGGGAAGCAATTTTCCCAGGTCATGCAGGCTCTTTCACAGATCAGATGAAATAAACCCCAAGTTTTCTGAACCCCAACACAGTGCTATGTGCACTGCATTCCTAGAAGAGGTCCGTTGAATGCTGTACATGGGAGACTCTTCAGAAACCTGCTAAACCAGTAGGTTTTTAGACTCCCTTTTTCTAGCCAGAGCCACATGTTTTTGGAGCAATGGGCAGCCTGTTTCCCCTATGGGAGTTCATCTAACAGCATTTTCTGCTGGTGTTTAAGCTAGTATAGATTTTGGTGGGTTTTGCCCTAGCATGAGCAGTTCCTAAATCATAAAATCCAAATTTTCCTTCATATTTTCACAGTACAAAGTTAATAAAATTGGGTCCCATCTAAAGGCCAAACTCCTAGAGAAGATCAAGAAGTTTGATGAATATATTTGGAGATTCAGGAAATCAGTAAGTAATTAGTGTTATCAGTTTGCTTAAAAATTATTAAAATCTGAGAATGGTCAAGCCCTCTAGTGCCTTCTGGCACATGTTTGCATGTAGTGCAGGGAAGGGCACCTTGAAATGTTGTGCCAGGAGCAGTTTTGCTCCTCTGAGTGCTGGCCTTGATTTCTGTCTAAGACCTTTGTGATGGAGTAATTCATGAAAATTTAGACATCTCATGTTAGCTGTGGCTACCATGCCTGACTCGCCTATTAAGTGGTTAATCCTTTGTTAATGCAGCTCTCTGTACAGAGGGAATCCCATGTCAGCCTCAAAAAGATGCTCTGTGTATGGACCAAACCCTGAGGGGTGCCTCACTACCTCAGTAGTGAGTGCTCAGTGTTCTTTAGGATGTGGTCTTATAAAATCTTGCACAGTTTTCAATCAATCAGATTCCTTTTTCTATATGAATCTAGCAAGATACAGAGCATTATGGGAATGTTGTGAGGTCTGTTCCTAAAGAAATGGCAGCCCTTAGGCTCCAGAGCTCTGATTACTGTCTTGGGAAAACATGCTCCAAAGGTTTGCTAAGTATCACTATATATTTCTACATCTCTTGCTGTTTGGGACTCCCTGTAGGTGCAGCAAATTGATTTCCTGTATGAAGCAGCTGGCTGGCCTCTGAAAGCCTCTCAGGAGGTAGCAGGAATCTTCCAAAATGGGGGGAGAGCTGTTGCCCAGATGTGGAAGCAGAGTGGAATCAGGCAAACACTGAGAAACAACCTCCCGCTTTACCTGGAAAAAATTCAAGACATTGTACAGCAAATGCAAAATGAACTGCAAAGTAAGTAGGGCTGTCCAGAACAAGG